AGGGCAGCCGAGACATCCCTCACCGACATAGCGGGACGAGGTGGGGCCGCCACGAACCCCACTCGAAGTCGGTGCATGGAGGCCTCATAAGTGCGCCCACAACCCATACCACAACACCAGCAACAAGCCGACCTCCCAACGACCCACCTACAGGCACGCACGACAAGCACCCCAACGACTGAGTCGAGTACCACAGGTTCGAGCACCACAGAGTCAAGCAGTACCTTTGACCAGCACGACTGAGTCGAGTACCACAGGTTCTAGCATCACAGAGTCAAGCAGTACCACTTTGACCAGCACTACTGAGTCGAGTACCACAGGTTCGAGCACCACCGAGCCAAGCACTACCACGTTGACCAGCACGACTGAGTCGAGTACCACAGGTTCGAGGGCCACCGAGCCAAGCACTACCACGTCAACCAGCACGACTGGGTCGAGTACCACAGGTTTGGCACCACAGTGTCAAGCAGTACCGCGTTGACCAGAATGATTGAGTCGAGTACCACAGCTCGTGCACCACAGAGTCAAGCCGTACTACGTTGACCAGCACGACTGAGTCGAGTACCACAGGTTCGAGCACCGCAGAGTCAATCAGTACCACTTCGACCAGCACGACTGATTCGAGTACCACAGGTTCGAGCACCACAGAGTCAAGCAGTACCACAAGTTCGAGAACCACAGAGTCAAGCAGAGTGAAGCAGGGGGCAGCCTGCCCCGCGACGTGGGATACACAGCGCATGGCGCCGAAGGGTGTATCCCCGTCGCCCTCGCGCAACATGCGAGGTGCCGCGGCCAACCGGCCAGAGGCGGCAAGAGCTGGCCAGAGCGGCCAGCCAGTGCAGGACGAGCTGGAGCCCATGAGCGGCTCGGCGAGCCTCCACAGCGCTCGGCGCCGAAGGGTGGAGGTCGCCAAGGCGGGGGGCAGCCTGCCCCTAGGAGCCGGCGGCCTGCCACTCCACGCCAGGCGCCGCGGCAGCTCAGGCGCAGCGGCAGCGCAGGTGCCGCGGCCAGCCGGCCAGAGGCGGCAAGAGCTGGCCAGAGCGGCCAGCCAGTGCTGGACGAGCTGGAGCCCATGAGCGGCTCGGCGAGCCTCCACAGCGCCTGGCGCCGAAGGGTGGAGGGCGCCAAGGCGAGGGGCAGCCTGCCCCTAGGAGTTGGCGGCTTGCCACTCCACGCCAGGCGCAGCAGCACCGCAGGCCGAGGGCCCACGAAGCGGCCGATGGCCTTGCTGACGGCGGGCGGCCCGCCGCGCGGGCGGCCGCGCGCCGCGCCTTTTGGGGCCCCTAGGGGCTCCACCTTGAAACCCGGCCTCGTCTCCTCCCCTCTGTTGCGAGCAGGAGCGGCTGGTCCCTGGTCCTCTTTCTCTTCCTCGGGGTCGGGTTCCCGGGGCCGTCGTCTGAGTGCCCGCACGGCCCTCGTGGGCTGCTGCGGCGCGCTCCGCGCTCCGGGCGTACGTGAGACGCTGCTCAGAGCGAGAAACGCAGAAACGCAGGAGGAGGAGGAGGAGGAGGAGGAGGAGGAGGAGGAGGAGGAGGAGGAGGAGGAGGAGGAGGAGGAGGAGGAGGCGGGCGAAGGGACAGGGCAGGACGAGGAGCGCCCCCGCCCGGCTGGCGCGCGCACCGTATCCGGGCGGGCGGCGGGCAGCAGGCCCGGCCGCAGGGGCCGGCAGTGCGGGGCGGCGGAGAGCCGCAGGGGCGGCAGGGCGGCGAGGCGGAGCCCTGGAGAGGGCGCCGGGGCGAAGGACGCGCTGCCCTTGGGGGGGAGGCGCGCGTGATGGGGCCGCCACTGGAAGAGGAGAGTGGGCGCCGGCGCCAAAGGGCGCAAGCGCAGGGAGTGAGCGGGCCACCTCAGGCGGAACCCGGCGCCACGAGCGCCGGATCGGCGCAAGCACTTGTGGACCAGGGAGCGCGACGCCTTGGAGGACAGCTGCGCGTGCCAGGGTACCCGAATGGTCCAAACACCGAGATAGGGCGACGAACTCTATACCCAGATATGATCGTGTCGTCAAGAAATCAGGACGGGAGGTTTTTGGCCAATTTCGGCCTCGGGGGGCCCTCGCCGGGCCTCGGGGCCGTCAAAAAACGACTCAGGACGAAAAAACGACTCCCAGGGAACGGGTCGGGACTTCCAGGGACCCCATACTGAAAAAGTCAGGACATCGCATGTCTGGGTGTATATCTACTGCTCCCTGGCAGAGCCCATCCTGAGCCCAGCAGCAAGTGTGTACGACACGCCCTCCTGGCTTGACCAGGAGGGCGAATGCACAGCGCCTGGGCCCAGGGAGGGCCCGGCCAGGGTGCAGTGGATGTGCATCGATTTCGTCGCCCGACGAGAGGAGGAAGAAAAGGGAGGGACCTCACAGTCAGCGCGCCCATCCAGGAACCGAAAGGCGGCTGGAGTCAGGTCGGGCATGTCCCCTACAGGCGGATTCTGGACGACAAATTAGAAATTGTCAAAGAATACGCCAAACTGGCCAAAAATAGTCAAACAAATCGTCCCC